TAATACCTCATATCATCGACGCATTTAATTTAACAGAAAGGCTCTCCCTATCGGCCAGAGAGTTCCAAAGACATTAATACAATTTTATGCTCTCATTGCCCCCCCCCCCCCCCCCCCCCCCTCCAAATCCCATTTCTCTTGCCTTGCTCTTTTACTGACATACAGCATAAAATTTGGGTTTGCTGTGTGTCTTACACAGAGAGAGAGAGAGAGAGAGAGAGAGAGAGAGAGAGAGCGAGAGAGAGGGAGGGAGAGAGAAAGAGAGAGAAAGAGAGAGAAAGAGAGAGAGAGAGAGAGATGGAGAGAGAGAGAGAGGGGGGGGGGGGTGTGTTTCACAGTCAGTCAAAGAGATTACAGTACAGAAAACTGTTTCTTCTCAGTGCAGGGGCGAAGGCTGACTTGTTTGACAGGGTAATCAAAGTGAAATGGGACCAAATATGGCCTGTAGATATCACACAAGAATCTTACTCGAGGCGGCGACTCTGAGTTGTGAATGAAAACAAATCCGGAATTCATATTGTATGTTCAACCGCCAAAATAATCGGGAAAGTATCTTATTAAATATCAGTTCCCACTAAAATTAAACTTAACTTTAGATGTGAATACATAAACACAAAGCAAAGAAGCAGAGATAAAAAAATAATAATAATAATATATAACATTTATAGAGCGCATTTCCAAAAAAAGTAGCTCAATGCTACTATATATGTTATAGATCTACCAGTGAGTCTAACTCTTTGGTAGAACATGACAATTATTATTTTTTAAATTTCACATTTGGCTGTTTTTGTTAGCCTTTTGCGGCCAGGAGCTGGTGTCATAATCGAGGTCACGATCTGATTATAGGACGGTAAAAAGTCGAGAAAAAAAAACAAGCACAAGCAGCAGTCAAGAGATTATTAAGAGTTAGTTCCCCTCACATTTGTGAGGTAGACTCGACCAGTGTTAGTTAGCTTACTTAATCAGGGCTTGTGATTGATTTTAACTGTGGCCCCAAAGGGGTGAACAGGGTATATGTGGCAATGAAACAGCTTTGACTGCCATGCACATGTTCCCTTCAACCAAGGAGATTAAAAGTATTAGTTCTAAACTCCTTGCATTCAACTCTATTCCAGCCTCACTTTAAGCTTACTTAATCAAAGTTTGCGACTGCTTATGGAGTGGCCCGAGAGGGGTGAGGAGGCTATTTCTGTGGCCGTGAAACCGTTTTGAATGTTAGGCATACTGTTCGTTGTTGGTTACGAACGTCTTTTTACATTTAATTTATGAGGTTTACGTTTAAGGATGAATTTGACAGCGACAATGTTTCAAAATTAGAAAGGGAAGCAGTGATTATTTGATTATATAGACGCTTCGCCCCTGTCTCAGTGTCATGTTGCCATTTATAAACAATGCTCTGCTATCGCTTCTTTGCCCACAATCTGGACGCTGTTTTCTGGCATATCTCCCTACGTCTGGTGTTAAATAAGCGTTTTACGGCACTTGCTACACTATTAGGTCATTTAACATATAAGTGCCGAGGATTAAGAGGTGTTACAAGATAGTAACAAACATGAACAGGGAGGAGAGATAAAGACAACAGCTGTTTGATAAGAAAGATCAATGAGCAAAGCACACCAGAACACCCGCGAACCACCCACTCCCCATGTCTCGTTATCTGGAAACATCCTTTTATACATGTACCATAATATATCCTAATTATCCTTTGCCCATGTGCACTTCTGTGTCCGAGTTTGTTCTATCTGATGTCTGCGAGACGGGTTTGTCTTCTTATTTCTTCGCATGGTACTGGGGTTTAAGGGAAGACAGGCATGCATTTTCAAAATCTGTTATGCACAGACTTAGCAATCATTTAAAGGGCATTTTATATGAGGACTTTGGGGGTCTTGTACGTTATTCAGATTGTCAGATGCACTTTAGTTCCGCGCTCCGGGCACGTTTTTACACTTTAGGGTGTCACGACCTCCTATAAAACGTTATTTTAGTGCAGGCGTAATTTTCTTATCCATAAAACTACAGAGTTAATGTTTTCACAGCATAAACTCAGTATAAGTCGTTGCAATCTGTTGGAGGATTTTTAAAATATCGTTTATAGTAAGCGAGATAACCTGGATTTTAACACATGACTAGCTAAACATGGGTCTCAACTCAGAATTTTTTAAAAGGAGGAATTTTCCGCGTGATCGCGACAGAAGCCCATTTTCGCGAGACACCCACTATTATTATACTGTGGGACCCTAGAATGTTGAAATAAAAACCCTCAATTTATCAAAGCAAGGTTATTTCATACCAGTTTGAGGGTTTGGAAGATAATTTCAAGTAAGAGTCACTTACCAAATAATCTTGATTACGTACAGAAAGCGGAGGCGCACTGTGGTCTTGTGCGACTTATTTATATTTTACCTTCATCATATTCGCCTGCATATATAAACTATATGAAAATGAATTTTGTTTTGAGCTTGGGAAAAGGCCTAGAACCAGAATATCGACTGTTATGAACCAGTCTGGGTGTAATGATTCATATAATAAACGTGAAAGACAAAATTAATGCTCAAACTCAAAGTAGAGTAATTACTTGAATAGCTCAAGTAAACCTATTCACTATTCAGTGTGAGAGGTGTAAGAACTGTGGGAGGGCAAGGTGCAGTGACACTGAAAATATGCGAATCTTGAACAAAAAGCTAAAATATACTTTTTATAGAGACATAATTTACTCTCACCCATCCAATGAAACGTGACACTAAGGCCCCTGCCCTAAGTTAATTAACACGCTTACAACAAGTAGTTATGGCGGATCCCGATTATACACAAGGCATGCACTAACGCGTACTTTACTTTGCAGAGAGCTGTAGTAGATCTAGTAATCAACATTCTAAATATTAAAATTTGCTTCCAATTTCTTTTCTTTTTTTGTCCTCTGGTGTTGCGTCCAGCCCTCCCCCCATCCCCGAGTGTATCTTTAAAAAAAACACACCCAATAATCTCCCTCCATTCCGGAGTCCTGTACTGTACTTCACAGCGCTCAGAACGCGAGCAGGTACATTGACCGGTCACAATGACGAGCCCGACAAGACGCTTGTATAACTTTCTTTTCTTTTCTGTTTTGCCCCCACAAGCGACAGCACAGTGACCAACATTATTTTCATGGCGACACCACGTTTGTAATGCAGAACCTGCATTTTACGAATGTTGCGTATAATAATAATATTAAAAAACCTCTTTCTCTAATTATTCGCGCTCAAGACGATCATAATATTATTAGATCTATTCCATCGTCTCCTGTTGCTATAAGTGGGGCATTCATTTCTTGTACAACTCCACTGTGACCCCGGATGTTACATGCACTAGATTAAACAGTTCGCAGTTCGGAACGGGGTGGGGTGGGGTGGGGTTACTCTTTACTTCTTCCCACCCCACCTTTGTCCTTGCCTTCGGCTTAACGGGGTACAGTATTTAATTATCAGTACTCCAACATAAAACTGTCCCCGTGGTTTAATGCACCCTGCATAATTTAGCAAAATTTGATCATTTTTTTCATAATTTCGGATTATTTTCCTTTATCCTTCTTTGTTAAAATTAACAGAATCGCATAATTTCACATTTTTGGGCTCAGTGCATAATTTCAGAATTTTTCTTGCATAAAACGACGGGGACAGATAAAAGTGGAGATACCCCCCCCCCCCCCCCCCCCCCCCCTTCCCATTTTTTTCAGGAACCCAACTCCCTTCTCTGCTCAAATATCAATCGTGTTGCCGTTGGAGACTTTAGTTTTAATAAGAGTTTTACGGCATTAGCAGCACTATAAGGTCATATAAGTGCCGAGCCGAAGAATAGAAGTGTTAAAAGAGTTGCACGGGGAAAAAAGGAGGGATAAAGACGATAGACGTTTGAGTTTGATCAGAAAGAAGAAGCAGACCACGTCAGAGTACCCGCCAACTATCCACTGTCAGGGCCTACCTCGAATGAATGGGATACAGTATCCCAACATAAAGGAGAACTTACCCTTATCAGCCCTTATACTATACACCCCTCACCGTATCTTTCTTTCTTTCTTTTTTTTTTTTAGGAATCCAACTCTTTTGTGCTCAACAAATATCAGTTAAGTTTTAGTAAGTGTTTTTTTACGGCACTTGCAACACAATAAGGTCATATAAGAGCCGAAGGTAGAGGCTTTACAAGAGAGTAACAAACACAAAAAAGAAGGAAGGGAGCTAAAGACGATAGACGCTGCTTGATAGAAAAGAAGAAGCAAACCACACCAGAGCCCCCGCCAACCACCCACCAACAAATATCAATCGTGTTCCCATTGGAGACTTTGTGAGACACTCACAGTCGTAATTTTTCCCTGCTCAGGATCGACAGCAAGAATTCAGTTCGACACACCACAAAAAGCAAAGGCAACGTTTTGAGTAGTTCTGGGAAGGAAATACCCGCATTGGTGACAACAGAGTCGGGTGAGCTCAATAGCTCTCGATTCCAACACAGCATTCAGTGAGATATGAAATAGGTTGACAAATGGAACCACAAGTGTCCAACTTTCTTTTTTTTGTCTTGGTCTTCCCAGTGCCAAATTAAATAAAAGTATTAAAAGTAATGGCCAATAAGTTACATGTAGTATAGTTTTAGTAAGAGTTCTATGGCACTTGTAACTCAATAAGGTCATATAAGTGCCGAAGATTTGAGGTGTTACAAGAGAGTTGACAAACACAAAAAAAGGAGGAGGAGAGATCAGGACGAAAGATACATGTATTTGGAAGGAAAGAAGGAGCAATTGTTTGTCAGCCGTTTTAATCAGTGCTTTTAATTACTTTTTTTTTCATTGAATACTGGCAGTATGTTATTTCACTGTATAATCAACAAAAACGTGCTTGGTTTTCTGATATACTTGATACAATCCCTTCTTCGTCTAATCCATTGAGTCACGAAATGGGCAATCCTCTTTTCAATCCCATAATGGAATCTTTGAAAGAGGAAAAAACCAAATCAAATAAACAAACCTAGAAAAGACGAGGGACAAAATGTAACAGAAAAGAAAAACAGAACAGATGAAAAAGACACAAAGAAACTAAAAAGGGAGAAAAAAACAAACATACGATAGTAAAGAAAAGTATGGAAAAAAAAAAGACAAAAAGAAATACCCCCCTGCCCCCCCCCCCCAAACAAAAAACCCCCCAACAACACACTGATGGTTAGACTTTATTTAATTGTATTAGAGCAAAAACACTTGACTTGAGGACCTGAGCTATCCCAATAAAAAGACATCAGCATAACAAAAATAATGCTATGTAAGGAAATCTGTTTAGTTTTAGTAGGAGTTTTACGGCACTTGCAACACAATAAAGTCAAATAAGTGCCAAAGATTAGAGGTGTTACAAGAGAGTAACAAACACAAAGAAGAAGGAGAAGAGATCAGGACAATAGATATTTGGTAGGAAATAAGGAGCAGTAACTGTTCGAAGGAAAAAAAAAAGAATTAAAGCATTATCAGCTGGAGCGAAACAATAAATCTGATGGGATCCTGTACATTATTTTAAAGCATACTGGACAAATGTTCTAGTTCACTTCCGACTCATGGCCACTCAGCATGACAATGAACAATGGCCACAACAGTGGCACCAGGAATGGATCAGGATAACAGCAACACTCAAAAGTAGCCAACTACAAATAGGACTGTACATTGACATCTTTTCATATACTGTATTTTACAGTACCTCTGCCGTAAACTGACAAAACACTGTTTCGAGGTAAAGAGAGTTTTGTTGTTGTCAGTGTAAACATTTAAAAAAAGGTGTTCTTTTATGTGTTTGAGATGTGGTGTTACCGTTGAATGGTCAGAATAAGTTGGAAAACAAAAAAGACAAACAAAGAGGTGTATCAAATTCTATCCACAAGACCAGTCCCGCCGAACAAAATAAAATGTAGAAAAATACAATACTATAGCCACTTAAAAAGACACGAGACCATTGTAAAAGAGGTGCTCGAAGGACAGATGAGGGGCAGGAGAGCTAGAGGAAGACAAACAATATCAATATGAATAACATGGATGGACAACATAAGAACATGGACTAGCCTGGGTGTATATGGCAGAAGGTACAACAGCAGCTCGCGACCGTGATCTCTGAGTCAAAGATGACACCTCCAGGTATTCAGGTTCTTTTAAAATTTGAATTTTAATCAATCCAAAAACTAGTCACAGTTTCACTTTGATTTTTTCACACAAGTAGGGTAACTGATCAGACTTTCGACTTAGCATATAACAAAATTTGGTGCCAAAAATGAAAAACAGTGTTTTGTCAGCTTACAGCAGACCTGCCATGCAGTTCCCCGCGTTGCCGCATTGAGGAAAAATAGGGCTGATGTAAGGCTAGTATGTCGCTTGATGAGGCAAGTAAATGGCAACACCAGTACATGTAGTGCCTTCTGACAGAGACATCTGTTCCTCTCAGTTGTCCGTAGGTCTACCAGCTCCCCAACCACAAGTCTGTCATTGTGACTACAGAAATGCCAAAATGAGGAAACAACCAGTCACTAATCTTGGGAGACGTCAACGCCCCTGGTGGAGAAAGAACGCCATCTCACCAAACTCTTTTTTAGTTTTAGTAAGAGTTTTGCGGCACTTGCAACACAATAAGGTCATATAAGTGCCCAAGATTAGAGGTGTTACAAGAGAGTAACAAACAAAAAAAAAGGAGGGGAGATAAAGACGATAGTTGTTTGATAGGAAAGAAGAAGCTAACCACACCAGAACACTATCAAGCTCTAAAAAAAAAAGGGAACTGAGCAATTATTTGAGAAGAAGATCGAGATCCACCTGATGGGGCGCAGCTGGCTTGAGGTAGAAAGGATAGCCTAGAACAGAGACAGGTGAAAGCCTTCCTTTGCTGTCTCTATCCAATACCAGGGCGAAAGAGGCTGAGAAATTCTACAGTATAGTGATTCTTAGTGTGACCTTGGAAAGGAAGGAAGAAATGTTAAATAATCACAGCAAATAATGAACCGTACAAAAATATGTCCAGACCACAACACAAATTTTTCAAACAAAATGTATATATGCACTCTTTTCATACAAACTGTGAACAAACACATCTTCCACTCCACTTACCACATTCAGGAAAGTCTTAGTCTTATATTAAGTTATCACTATACAAAATATAATACAGTTAAACCTGTTCTAACTTTAATAGTCACCTCCAAGACAACCACCTGTACAAACAATCGCTTCTGACTTCTCCTTCCCCGCGTTTTTTTCCTTATTATTATTATAGGATACTCTCCATTTACAACAAGCCTTCCCATTGCTCCAGGCACTGAGCACGTAATATTGACCCAGCCCTACGCATGGACACCCAAAGCTCTATGGGGGTCTGGAGGAAGTGTGGCAGCAGTGGACAGACTGGGGGTGTCCATTTAGAGATGAATAAAAAGAAGACAATACTGTCCAAGACAACCACTTTCTCCTCAACAATGTGTGGTTGTCTTGAACAATTTCAACTACAATTTGTATAAAATACAAAGTAACCGAGGGAAAGATTACGATAATAACCAACAGAACATTTTGATATTTCATAATTTTTTTAAATATAAAGAACGGAGAGCACTTATGTGTTATTTATATGTATATTTTGGAGCTGCGTATAAAAAAAGAGTGTCAGACATGGTTACAACAAACATAGTGGTATCTACTTTTTTTCACTCTCCCCAAATAAAAAGGATTGCAACGACAACCACTTTCCTCCTTCGCCATGGGTGGCTATCTTGGACAATTTCAACCATAATTGTAAGTTGACAGAATCAGCAATGGACATGCATCTGTCCAAAATCATAAAGGCCTATATTTCTTTAAACTAAGGAGTCAAATTTATCAACCGGCAGCATAAATCTAATTTCATTGAGTATTGGCATAATTGCAACAAATGTAACAAGTACGAACAAGCTCAAGACTTGGTAAAATCCAGAAGGGTCTAAATTTTCTAGCAGATGCCCAGATTTCAAAATAACATATTCTATCAAAATATACCAGCCAACCCCAATCTCTAGGGCACTGATCTTCAACACAAACAGAAACAAAACTTGCAAATAAATATTAAATATAGTACTCTTCTGAAAACAATTGCAAAGGAAAAAGAAAGACAAGACCGAAATAACCAACAAAGTCTTATACAACACACAACCAAAGGGTGTTCCATATCATTAATGTAGCAACATCTTATAACATTTTTGCAACATAAGGCACTTGACACGGAACAACTTTTTTACGGTACGTACAGACCAAACATAAAATTCAACCAAAGTGTCAAAAACATGAACAGCACACACCATGTTTTCTTCTTCTGCACATGGCATCATTTCTTTTGACTAATGCTGCTGTCATTTTTCAAGCAGTTTAATTTGAGCAAAGAAAAACATGTTGACACAATGATGATACTTAGCTCTGTACAAAGCAAAGACCTATAGACAGAAACAACAGAGGAAGAGTAAAGAAGTAGGATCTCATAATGGCACCCTCCAACTACCCACACAATCATTTCAATTATCCACACACAAGCACATGACTTGAAAGAACGTAATCAAAATTCACACAAAAACACAGCCTCGATCAGGTGTTGGCAGCAAGTACCCTAGTATCCTTCACTAAAAATGTAAAGCACCACATTTCATAACAAAGTCATAAACAGTTTCTGAATACATGGTTTAGAAAAAACATCTGTTTGGTCTATAAAACATTCTTGAACGATCTACACTATAAAGTTTATGTTATAAAGGTCCTCCTCTGGCATCAGCAACTCCTGTAGGCACAGTTACTTCCAAGCCATCCATGTCTTTCGTCAGAACTACTTGGCACCCCAAACGAGATCTGAAAACAGAAAGTTGAAAAGGTGTCCATTAAAAAAAGTGTAAAGAAGTAAAGAGAAAAGAACACAGATTTATAGAAAAACTCAATTGGATTCTCATTTCCATTTCTTCAAACTAGATGTCCTACTATTGGTTGCATTCGCTGTGATGAGACAATTTTTTTCTCCCTTAATCAAAATTTTATTTACCCCTACCTTGCGTAATGATGCGCCAGGTTCACTTTAGACTCCATTGTCTTACAAAAACATAATTCTTACGGTACAAAATTCATCCTTTATTAAGATCACACTCTAAAAGGCTATATTCAGTTAAGATTTTATATTTTGCTTAATGATTTACTAAACAAAAACATAGTGCTTGAAAAAAGATCTATTGTATTTGGCATAGTTTCCTCCTACCTAAAAGAAGACTAACACAAAAAGTATAAAGTCATGTTTACATAATATGCTGACATACTATTATATATTTTAAACAGACAAACCCAGAACTTTTCAACAATACAATAGCCCTCAACCACAAAAGAAAGCTCACGTGTCTGTTAGTCCATAGGCCAGATCCAACATGTCCAACTCTTCATCCGTTGGTTTATCAGGGATTTTGTCGAAGTCACTCTGCTTGAAGATTAAATGGCAGGTGGAGCACGCCAGGGTGCCTTCGCAAGCACCTGAGACAGACCGGGGGAAACAAAGGAGGAATTAATGAGTGAAGGATAAGGGAGGGATAAAGGAGGGATAAAGGAAAATTGATTTTTCAGTCACACAACAAGTCTTGAACATAAAATCATCATCTTCCATTTGCCATGGGTGGTTGGTGGGTGCATTGGTGTAGACTGCTCATTTTATCTTTCTAAAACAATTTATGAGTTACTTTTATGTGAATATATTCCTCATTAGATCTAATTCTTCTTCTTTTCATATTCTTTGACACTTCAGAGGTCACCTTCAACTACAAATTTGATGGGGTTTTGAGTCATTTTGTACCTGCCAGTACAATTTTTGTGGAGATGTACAGGTTTTGGCCAAATATACTGATGAAATGTGGCCATTATCATCCTGTCCCACCAAATACAAAAACAATTTTCATTTTCAAGGAGAGGACTGACTTTGTTATAGTTGTCTTTCTTCTTTAAACAGGTATAAAAATTATTTCTACATCTAAAGATTTTTAGGAAACTAAAAATTTACAGACTTTAAGAAAGTTGAGGCTGAGTTACTTAAAAAAATATAAGTCCAGCATAATTTTCCATTCTCACGAGTGATATAAGTTCCTCTAAAAAAACAACCCCAAAACATTAATTTCCTCTTCCACGTTAAGTTAACTGTACACAGATTGTAGACAGGCTACACCATAACCCTATCTTACGCCCTGGCATCATTTTGTACCCCCAGAGTTGTATTCTTCACATTTTAGAATACTTCTAGTACGAAGACCTCTTTGAAACTTTCAGCATTTCTCAAAAAATCATTTTGACAGACTGCTATGCAAAGTGTATGGGTCGGATTAACGAGTAAATTTCCTCTTTGGAATTTGGAAAGTGGTGGCACAGAGTTCCCCATGTCGTAGGGATACGACAGTAAAACACGACATACGGAGAGGGTTAACTATGACAAAGGTTTGAAATCTTTAAGAGACTTCAAAAGGAACACAGGAACAAAGCAAAATATCACATTTTAGTTTAGTTTTAGTAGAGGTTCTACAGGGCTCGCAACTGCCATAAGGTCATATGATGAGCGCCAGAAGATTAGAGGTGTAACAAGAGAGTAACAATTAATTTTAAAGACCACAGATGTTTGAAAGGAAAGAAGAAGCAGACCACACCAGAGCACCCGCAACCACCCACTATCATATTTTGACCGTAAAGCTTGAGAAAAAAGATTGAAAACCACTGGTGTAGACCTACATGTCAAGGAAGACAAAGTAAAGAAGGGAAGTGGAAGCAATCGGGGGGAAAAGTATAAGAATTGTTTCAAGTGGTAAACCCCTTCAGGGGATAATGTAGAGCATTGTCTTAACTGCAGGGAACCATAGACTTCCCACAGCTGAAAATTTTTTTTTGTATTATGAGAGAAAGGATATGCATACGAACGAAAAGCACATTTCTTTGGGTGTGTGTGTGCTTGCATGCTTGGGTGGGTGTCTGAGAACTGTAAATGAAAACTGGAGTACAACTATCTCGGCTCAGTTTGTGTATGTTCTTTCTTAGGAGGAGAAGGATAAAGGGAGAGCGAGAGAGAGGGGGGAAGGGAGAGAGAGAGAGACAGAGAGAGAGAGAGAGACAGAGAGAAGGGGAGGGGGAGGAAAGAGAGGAGGGGAGATACACAGTGTGTCAGGGAGAGAGAGAGAAAGAGAGAGAAACAAAGATAGAACAGAGTGAAAACAAAGAAAATAATAGATATGAGAGACAAGAGAGAGTGACAGAGAGAAGGGGAGGGAGGGAGAGAGAGGCAGGGTGACGGGGAGAGAGAGGGAGAGAGAGATAGGGGTGAGAGAGAGTGACAGAGAGAAGGGGGAGGGAGGGAGAGAGAGGCAGAGTGACGGGGAGAGAGAGAGTGAGAGAGACAGAGAGACAGGCAGGAGGACGGAAGGGGACGGAGAGAGAGGAGCGGGGGACGAAGGGAGTCAGA